AAAGTTACCCTTGCTTCCCGCCCCCCCCCCGGCCCCGACTCCCTACGTATCTGAAATAGGACTTTTTATTATCCTTGATATGTGAAGCCAGATGGAGTTCGGTTGCAGCCTTGGCTTTCCTGGTTCGCTCCCTGCAGGCATGGACCAGTGCTGAGTACTCCTCCTTGGTGGTTATTGCAGCCTTCTATCCTTGATAAGTCTCTCTTTTTATGTGTAGGAGGTCCTCAAGTTCCCTGCTGAGCCAAGGAGGTTGCTGTGCCCTTTTGCTATCCTTCCTCTGAGATAGGATGGACAACCCTTGTGCTGTCAAGATCGCACCCTTGAGGAGCAACCACTCCTCTTCCTGCTGAGTCATGGGCCCTTAGGGCCTCAACAACGAGCCTCCTGAGCTTGTCAAAGTCAGCTTTTCTAAAGTCAAAGACTTCTGCATTGCTGACTGACTTGCCAGCTTTGTGATGGATAGTAAAGGTGATCAGTTCATGGTCACTATCACCCAACTTTCCATCAATTCTTAGGTCACTGATTAGATCATCCCCTTTGGCCAGTACCAGGTCCAGCAACGCTTTACCTCTTGTCTGGCCCGTAGACTTCTTGAGTCAGGTAGAGCTCGTCCATGCATGTGAGGAAGCTTTGCGACCAATCAGATTTTGCCAAATGCTTTTCCCATGAGATGTCCGGGTAAAGTCTCCCATGACAACCATGCACTGAGAGCGTGCAGCCTCAGCCAGTTCCCTGGTGAATTCCTGGTCCAGCTCTTGTTTCTGGTTGGGAGGTCTGTAGTAGACTCCTACCATGATGTTCCCTGTGCCATGTTCCCTATGTATTTTAACTCAGAGGGACTCCAATCATTCTCTCTGGGTGTCAATGTCAATTTGCAGAGATGTGTAGCTTTCCTTGACATAGAGAGCTACATTCTCATCCCTTTTATCTGCATGCTCTCTCCTGTACAGAGTATGGCCATCTATACCTGTGGCCCAGTCATAGGTGGAATCCCACCAGGTCTGTTTTCCCTATGAGATCGTAGTCTTTCTTGCTTAGCAGGAGGACCAGTTCCTTTTGTTTGTTCCCTAAGCTCCTGGCATTGGTGTACAGACACATAAGTGTCCCACTGGAAGCTCTAAGCTTCCTTGCCCTCCCAGGTAAATACTGTTCCAGGGCTGTGGTAGGTGTGGATTCCCTTGGGTGCCCTAACTCGCTGGTTATGCAGTAGTCGCCTAGTGGGCTTGCAGTGGCAGTTATCCACCCATCACCTGGAGGGCTTATTTTAAAGCCTGGTTGAGCAGGTCAGCCAGTCTGGCTGAGAAGAGGTTCTTCCCCAGCAGAGTAAGGTGGAGGCTGTCTCTTCCCAGCAGAACACTGCCTCTCTCACCAAAGAGTGGACTGTGACTGTGGAAGCTGAACCTTTCATGATGACACCAGCGACGCAGTCTCTGATTGACTACCTCAATCCTCCTTTCCCTCCTCAGCTCATAGCCCGAAACCAGGATAGAGGAAAACATCACCCCAACCCCTTAAGCCCTGCTCCCAATCACTATAACTAAATTGGGGGTCTATATCTTTAGAGGAAAACAAAACCTTTCATCTTAGTTTTTACAACCCTCAGTATTTTGGAAAAAAAATACGAACAAAAACACTCAGGTTCCAGAGATATTTTCAATATACTTAGACGGCATGGATTGAATATGAGGCTGGAAGTCTACTGTCCCTGGCCCTCACTGGTAGAATCTTATAGCTCCTCACAAGCATCATAACTATGTGTGGCTAGACAATTTTTCTGATTCATAGGTAGTTACTGTTTTGGTGCTGTCTGCAAGGAAATGTAAAAATAAGAAGATAAAATGTTTGATACTATGTTCTTAAGAAGAACGAACTGTTAATATGAATCTCCATGCCTAAGGCAAGCATTTACCTTCTGTGCAGGCAACAGAACTCTCTGGGGTGCAGTATCATCAGCTGCTAGAGGGTCCCTCTGACTTCTGTGCACCAGGTGGAATGTTACTGCTTTCTTCTTCTCTATAAAGGGTTTCTTCCTCTTGTGAGGCTGCAAAAGACATTGTCGTGCTGATCATAAACAAGCGAAACACTAAACTTCTCTTACAAAAGGTTTTTCTTATCCCACTACAGGTGCCTCTTTATAGTCCCAAAATATGTTGCATGTTGTATACAGCTGGTCTTAAAAAAAGAAATCAACAACAGTAAGTTTTATTAGCTCATCTATTCTTGTCACATCCATAGCAGCAATCAAAGAGGCACAGTTTGCATGCTCCCACTGTGTGAATGCAGCTATGTATTTGCAAGCTGCAGAAATATATAAACCAAGCATAATTATAGACTGATTGTGGACATAATGCCAGGACATGAATGATGGAAAGTTCAGGCCAGGATATAGGTTATACCTACCCAGTAAACTTGCATGCCCAGCAGTAGCACCCTCAAGCAAGGTGCGCTGTTTCAAGGAGATTGCCACCTAGGCTATACCCACTTCTTTTCCAGACCGGAAGGTTGTTTCTGAAAGGTTATCTAAGATCTCTTCCAACTGTTTGGTTTGATCCAGTAAAAGAAGTTATGAAACAAGTCTTCCCCTTCATTTCAACTAGATATAGTGGCCACACTTGTGTGGCTGTGTGTGTGTGTGGGGGGGGTGAGGGCGTGTGTGGGTGCGCGTGCGTGCATGGAAAGGGGTGGGGGAAGGGGGGGGGAGTAAAGGAGAAGGGCAGGAACAATTACCTGTCCTTTCTTCAGCAATGATAATTAGCCTACTCACAGCACTGTATATAAACACACAGTTGCTTCTCTTTAGGAGGCTGTTAGTCCAGAGTTGGGCGGTGTGCCTGAGTGCCAATTCCAGGCATGGCAACTTAAGCAGAAACTTCCAGAGAAACAGACATGTCGAAATTCTTTAAGACAGAGCTTACCATACTTTTTACAAAATGTTTGACCATAAATAAAATGATAGCAAAGCTGTTCATAGAGCAACCAACTGCCTCATCATCACCAGGGATTTTAAAAGAATGCCCAATTTTTTAAACTTAAAATTGGGGATTTTTTTTTTAAATCAGAGAAAACCAGGATACCTGCTCATCACTGCCTCACCCAATAAACCTCCAGAACCATGCTGCATTCTGGATTCCTCACAGTTCTAAAGCAGTCTTAACTTACTGAAATAATTTATTGCTGTCAGTACAACTGACTGAAAAATAGCTATATATGCTGACAAATATTTGTTGTTCCACCTACTGAAAATCCTGAAGGGTGAGAAAGTTGTCAGAATATTTTGAGCATGAAAATTATTGTATAAATCAAATTTTCTCTGCATTGCTTAATCTTAAATACAGATCAAACATGTTATATGCAGCTTTAGGAATAAGACTCACTGGTTGCCAGCATGCATTTTTAATATTGCTTGTGTTTTGAAATGTTACACCTCGAAATAACACAGAATTACGGTTCTTGTTACATATTCAAATTAAAGCTAGATAGAAACCAGCTATAAAGTTGGCACACATTTTCAAGCTCTAACTTTGTAGCTGGTTGGTTCTTTTTATAGTTGGACAGACATTTTTATGGCGTGATAACTACTTTGCATGTGTGGCCAGTTTGAATTTATTGTGAGGTTAACATATATTATGCTAATAATTGCTAACACGTGGCAGGGGCCTGAGATACCCGACAGTAAAGCAAACACCACAGTTGTGAACCGGCTCTGAAAACACTAGCACAGGGGTGGGCAAAGTGCAGCCCGTGGACTGAATGTGGCCCTCCACGTCATTCTATCTGGCCCACGGGGCCCCCCCAAAATTTAGAAAATTAATATTTATTTTCCCCTGGCTGCCTGTCATGTGGCACTCAATGGCTTGCCAAAACTCAGTAAGCGGTCCTCCAGCTGAAATAATTGCCCACCCCTGCACTAGTAGAACAGAAGTGTTCAAAACCAGGATGCCCTTTCCCACAGGAAGTATTCTTCTGGATTAATTTCAAAGTGGACATGAAACCCACTGGATTGGAAAAGAATGAATTCCACTTCTAATTATTACCTATACAGAGCCACAAATAAAAAACACGCACTACCTTCACATACCCCACTAACATCTGTTGGACATCTGCAGAATGTAATGGTAATATATAGCCTTTCTCCGTATAATAAAAGCGAGCTAATATTTGCTCCCTACACAACACGCAGCTACAGATACTGCACTACCATTATTTCTAACCTGTCTCTTTCTTATCCCCACTTTGAGTTCCTGTCTATTTTCTCATATGACAACCCCCAACCTTTAGCACAGTCAACTACTGCTATTTCATACTCTGAGGGTAGCCCATGCCTTTGTTTAAAACACATCTCCCATTCTCCCAGTGGCAACGTTAGCCTTCTGGGCTGGTGTTGCTCCTAACATCTCTTGCTGTTATCAGGAGCGTCATCCAACCCTGCTTTTCCGACTTGGGAAACAGGCAGCCAGGGGGCAGCTCAGGTGGAGTTGGTAAGGGCCACAATTTATGAAGCAGTGCCACAGTGACACCCATGGGCAGATCTAGGATTCAGAAAAGGGGGGTGAGCACAGGGCGAGGTGCCTCATCCCATGAAACTACATGTTTTTCTCCAGTTAAGCATAAACTAGAAGCTCCGCTATTATGCCGAGGGGGATGGGATGGGGTGGGGTGGAGGAAGGTAGATACCAGTTTTGTCTGTTATTTGGAAATGAGGGCTGGAAGGGACCTCAGGAGGTCACCTAGGCCCACAACCCAGGGCAGCGGGTGACGTCCCCTTGCATCCCCCAAGCATCCAGCGCCAGCCGCGGGGTGGTGGATGGGACGCGAGGGTTCCACAGCTCTCCCTCTCCCCATTCCCCACTCACCATGGCGCGAAACCGGTACCGCGCGGGGACAAAACGCAGACCGCGCGCCCCTCACATGAGACTCCCGACCGCCACCGCCATGTTGGAACAAGCTAAGTGCCACCCTTTGGTGGGGGGGGGGAAGGAAAATGAACCCCTCCACCACCTCCGTTTCGTCGGCGAACAGCCATCGTCAGAGGTAGCAAAAGGCGGCGTGGGGGGTTCTAGTGAGTGTTCCGCGCAGAAAAAAGGACTAAGAGATAACGCGTCACCGTTGCTGCCCCCTTCCGAACCGGCACGAATGGTTCGGCCCACTCCGCTAAAGCAACGAGGGAAGGGACAGCAAGTGAGAAGGGCCCAACGGGGGAAAGTGCATGCGCAAAGCAGCCGCTCGGGCAAGGTTCTAGATGCCGGCGCGTTGAAGTGACGTTAGGCACCATTGGGGAGCAGAGCAGCACTCCCTGCGAAGTTCGCTCCACCCCCTGGGTGGCTGTGGTTGGTCACTGGTGGGCGCATGCGCTATGGGCGCTGCTGCTGGGCCCTGGCTTTGGGTTCCGCAGTCCTTGCAGTTACTGGGGTTGGAAGCGCCGCCTCCCCGTGACGTCACAAAGTTTCTTGTGGGGCTCTGCTGGCAGGCGAGACCATTGTTCCGTCCGCGAGGGCGCCGGGCGCGATTCGAATAGGCGCTTCGCCTCGCGGGACAACTGGGCTAGTTCGGATTCGCTCTTTCGGCTGTGCGTGTAAAGGGCTGGCTTTGGCTCTGGGTGCGACTCAGACCTTGGGAAAATCACGCTTCAATTGTTGTTAGTCCGATCGGCCTGGGGTTTTACCCGCTTCTGAGTGGGGGCAGCACAGGCGTTTGCACGTGTGGCCTTCCCCAGCTGACCCGCTGCTGGGGAGGAGGGCACAGCCTGCATGGTAGGCCTGGAAGAAAACACACTAGCTCACACTAGTCTGAAGCCATGGCACAGGAGAAGCATTAACACATTTTATCCAGCATAGTTCTGAGGGATTTGAAGTGGGACAGTGAACATATACCTGCCTGCCTGGTCCCTGCACACGAGGCTTTCTTCCCGAGCCAAAGGCCTCACCTGGGTGGGGTGTGTGTTGTGGGGGGTGGGGTACTTAAGCGCTGTTTGTACCCATCTGATGAAGTAAGCATCAGCCCAGGAAAGCTGGGGGTACATCTCTACATCTGAGTCCAAAGGAAAAGAAAACAATATGGGCACACTAGAAGGAAGCAACAGGCTACAATCGGACCTAGACAGGTTGTAAGGGTGAGTGGATGAGAATAGAATGGGATTCAACACAGACAAGTGCAAAGTGATGCACCTGGGGAGGAACAACCGGCACCATACCTACAGGCTGGGGAACTCCCCTCTTGTCAGCACAGAGGTGGAAAAGGATCTGGGAGTCATCATTGACTCCAAGATGAACATGGGTCGGCAGTGTGGGGAGGCAGTTAGGAAGGCCAACTGCACCTTGTCATGCATCCACAGATGCATCTCAAGCAGGTCCAAAGAGGTGATCCTCCCCCTCTATGCGGCACTGGTCAGGCCGCAGTTGGAGTACTG